ACTTTAATTACTAAAAACCTTGCCATCATTTCACTCCCTCACTCCACCCCCCCAAACTCAACTCTGCCTCCAAATAAAATCTGAAAATAAATATATGCAAAAGGTCAAAATAAGTTACATGGGGATTATAAATCTTAGTTCTTATTTAGAGATCAATTTCCAATAATTGGTTATTTGATCTTTGCGTATTGTTTTGGACATATTTTATTGGAAGGCAATGTTAAGTTTGAAGGTTAAAGCTTCTTTCCCCCCCAAACTCAACTCTGCCTCCAAATAAAATCTGAAAATAAATATATGCAAAAGGTCAAAATAAGTTACATGGGGATTATAAATCTTAGTTCTTATTTAGAGATCAATTTCCAATAATTGGTTATTTGATCTTTGCGTATTGTTTTGGACATATTTTATTGGAAGGCAATGTTAAGTTTGAAGGTTAAAGCTTCTTTGAAGTCTGTTCTGGTGCTGTGCTACTGTGTGTAGTTTGCGGCTTTGGTAGAGGCAATGCTGAGGCATGAAGTGTTGATTTCCCCTTAGCGCCTCTGTCAGAGCTAGTACAGACTTTGGCTCGAGCAGTACCGAGTAATCCTGCTGTGTCAGCTTATTGGTGCTGACAGCAGAATCAGTTCCACTGCTGACTGTCCGCTCATGGAATGGCACTCTCAGCCAATTCCTGCATGGAGGACATAGGTGTCTGCCTTTCTGACAGTTTTTTGGCAGGCTGATCAGACGCCTGGGTTGAGGACAAACCCATGTCAGAAGCTGCAGTCAGTGAAGTTTGTCAGAGTGGAAGCGGGGTGGGGTTCAGGCTGTGCGCTCAGGTCTGAGAGACTTCTTCATGAAGAGGAGCTTAGCTGCAAATCTCTCACCTTTCTTGTCCAGAAATGACCTTGAGGCAGTGCAGACACTTCTGTGTTGTGTGTGTTTCACATATATAATGAACACGTCTGTCCAAGACAGGTATAGCAAACTTGCAGGTAAAACCGCATTTAAAGCATGGGGAACAGGGCAATTCTGTTAGGGGGCATTCACCCTCACAGTGGCTGTGTATGGAAAGGTTCAACTAAAACATCTCCTTAGCTGTAATGTAACCTTAAACTTTAAAAGGAAGTAAAAGAAAAGGGTTTTTTTAATTATTTTGTTTTAAACAAGGTGAGGAGGAGAAAGGAAACAGATTAACTGTTATCAAGGTAACTAAATAACTGTTAAACTTATTAAATACTAAGTAGCTAGGTGGCGTTAGTACCAAGGACAATAGGGCAGGAATTGAAGGGAGATTGGTCACACCCCTATGTCATTACCTCACAGACACTTACCTTCCCCCCTCACCCCCACTCTGTTCTAAAATTTGATTTGTCAATTTCACATGTGTTCATTTTTTTGATTGTATCACTTTGGTATATATGGTTGTGCCGATTTTCTTCCACATATTGATTTGAGGAAGTGGGTCTGGCCCACGAAAGCTCATCACCTAATAAACCATCTTGTTAGTCTTTAAAGTGCTACATAGTTCTGTCTTTTGTTTCAGCTACACCAGACTAACACGGCTGCATCTCTATCACTATTCTACAATGTCTCTCAGATATGTCAGTTGATGACCAGCTGGCACAACTGACTTCTCTGAAACTCCAAAGCCACTGTTGACATCCCACACAAACCAATTCAGTAGAAAACAATATTTTTGTATGACTGACTATAGCAGGGATGAGATTTTGGTAAGTGGTCAAGGGCCACACTTCTATGAAGGGGTGCAGGGTCTGGGACGGAAGCAGCATGCAGAAGGGAGCATGGGGTAGTGGACTGGGGTGCAAGAGAGGGTGTGAGGTCTGACAGTTTAGGTGAAGAAGGGGGTTACAATCTGGGGTAGAAACTTAGGGTACAGAATCCAGCAGGGGATATGGGTGCAAGAGAGGATTCTGGCCTAGGGGAGGGGTATAGGAAGGGATGCATGGTTTGGGAGGGAGTTGTGACCTGGAGGAGGTGGAGAGAGGGGATACAGAGGGTTTGGGTAGTGGCCTGGGGTAGGTAGTTGGGAGGGCAGTGGAGGTGAGGTGCCAGAGATGGCAAGTTGGGAGGTGCTTACCTAGGTGGCTCCCAGCCAGCAGCCCTGCAGGAACCTGAGGCAGGCTCCCTCCCGGCCTGCTGCAATGCTAAGCTAGTCACAACTGCAGAAACTGGCTAATGGGAGCTGAGAGATTTTGCTGGGGGCAGGGGCGGTGCACAAAACCTCCCTTCTCTCTCCCCAGCGGCATAAGCTGCTCTATGTCTAGGGGTTATTGCAAAGCGACCGCAAGCTAGATCTAGTGGCTTGGTGGGCCGCATCTGGTCCACAGGCTGCATCTTACCCAACCCTGATCTAAAGCATACCTCTAAAGGCCAATACTAGAAAATTTCAAGTAAGTGAACTCCTTTTCCGATTCTAATCGGATAAATAAGGATCTATTAAAGGTTTATTCGAAATACCTGATTAACAGTAGACCTCTGTCGGATTGCTTCTCCCAAGGAGATCCCACTGGCAACTGAAATCTGGGTCCCACTGCTGCTTTGGCTTAACAACTCTTCCTTCCATGCAGGACGTGGTGGTGTTGTAGCAATAGGCTAAATAGGGTGTTTTTTTAAGAGGGAAGTAAAAATTAATTTTCAGGATTCTTCAATGTAATAGCCATTTAAGTTGTAATGTACTACGAAATATCAGTAAAAGCAGCTAGTTGCTGTCCCAAATTAATGAGCCAACAGTCATATACTATAGCTGGAGATGCAAAAAGGACAAGTGAATTTGTGTGTAATATTTCTAGACTCATATGTTAAAATGACAGTAATGAAATATGTTCTGTGCATAAGATGATCACTTGCATGAGTCAGGAGTTTGCCTTCCTCCATCAGCTAAAAGGCCTGGCTAGTGATAGCATAACAGATATGCCAGATCAACTGTTTACTCTGGCACAGGAAACTGTTTTGATGTTAATTGTTATTCCTTAGATTTATACCGATGTTATAAATCAAATTTTAAAAATGTAAAGAAAAGCGCTATATAAATCTGTCAAAGTGACTGCACTTTAAATATGTAATTTGAGTTACCTGACAAATATTTAGGATATATCTTGAGGGAGGGGGAGCTTGACTTGCACCTGCAAAAACAGTTATCACAAGCTTTAGCCCTGAGGAGGCATCAGAAGCTATTTTATGTTCTAAGTGACCTTTCTTCTCTATAGTATACCAAGCATAATCTGTGTAGCTGCCTTAGCTCCTAGTGAATTCTGCAACCAACTTCACAGTTCCAATCATGCTAGCAACAAAGTGTAAAATGGAAGCTGTCATGTATTATACAGAGATTCAAATGAAAAAATAATGGTTCCCTAAAACAAGCAAAGTACTAATCCAGAAGAGAAGCATCAAACCACAGCAGATGCAGACACAGTGTACTGGTGTGCTGAAGAGGGGTATGGAGAGTACATTTGGGATTGCTGAGGAACACATCTGCTGTCTAGGTTTTGCTTGGTTCTTTTGGGCTGGAAAGGGACAGATGTCTGGGAGAGCTAATATAGGTGGGTAGAAACCATCAGGGAAGGGAGCTAGTCTGTCTGGGAGTCAATGATCTTCTTGGAGGGCTGCTCTTTGGATCCAGCAGGGATCTCTTTGAAAGACCAGAGATTGGAAGGAGACAGTTCCAGTGGAGGAGCAGGGCATGTCTCTGGGGTTTCGGGTCTGGCTGAGGTCTCACTGGGACTAAGATAATACATCTGAAGTTCAGATGGGAGACAAACTTGGGACTGGTACTGAAAACCCTTGTCCTCTTGACACTACCAGCATTTCTTTTTGCTATTGCTGCTTCAAGTCCATCAGTGGCATATGCTCAAATCTATTCAAAAGTGCCCAAAAGCTATATGCCACAGTAGTCTCTAGTTTCCAGAACATTACCACAGCTCCTCCCCATTGCTTAGCCAAATGTGTGACATTGCTGAGCCAGGGCTTGTGTAATCGGGCTGCCAGATGAGTGACAACTGGAACCTAGGGCTACAAAGAGGCTGGAAAATGCAAAGGTTGGTCATTTCATGGCTCAGCAGTTAAAAAAAATCATCCCATCCTCAGGAGCAGTAAAAACTGTCCACCAATGGCACCATGCCAAGAAATGTCTGGCACTAGCTGAATAAACCTGAGCAATGCATCAATAGGACTGAGCTCCCCTGAAAAGATGCAACATGAATGGCTCCTGATGCAGCACACCATGTAGACTACATTCCCAGAACCAAACAAGAAATAGCACTGTTTGAATCTGAGCCATCTAGGGAGAGAATCAGTCTTAAAGTAAGAGTTCTGGCTGACCCGAGTCCTGAAAAAGGTAATGCAGACATGCTAAACTGCTCTAGGAATAAGTGTATTTACATTAAACATCTGTGAAACCATTTTCAAAACTATGTTAATTTAGAACTATTGGTGCTATGGACAGGGATGGCTTATATACGCTTTTGTGGCTTCCATTTCTCTTTCAATATCCAAAGTGATCTTCCTTGCTTCTGAAGCCATAAGTGAGTTTGCCACATCATACTTCAGGTGAAAGGTAGGGTGGGATAGTAAAGCTCTATTGTAGCATATACAAATTATTCAGGATTGAGCAGGGCTGATTTTTCTATGAAACCATAGGGAAAAAAAGGAGTCTACATGAAATGAATTAGGACGGGGTAGCCAACTCATTTAACAAAGAGAACCAAAATAGCAGTGGAAGAGACGCACGAGAACTGTCAAGCCAAAAAGGGCCCCCAGAACAGAGTTGTCGAGCAAAAGAATTCAAAACTTTTTTTTTTTTAGAAAGGAGGCTGCCCCTTTAAGACAGCTGCCATCTTGGGCACCATTTTTAAAACCCTGCAGCTCCCACCCAGTAAGCACAGGGAAGCTGGAGGAGGCAGGGGCCATTTGAGGGAGGGATGCAGGAGCGGTTTCATGAGCCGCACTTTTGGGGGGCAAGAGCCGTATGCAGCTCACGAGCCATGGATTGGCCACGGCTGAATTAGGATCTCAGATTAGTTCCTAATGGAGAGAGGTCTATATCACAAAAGCCACCAACACATCATTACATTGTTGGCTGTAATTTCAACTGACACAATGAGTCTGAATGGACCACAAAGAGTGAATTCCCCTCACACCTTTAATGGTCAGGTTAGTGTTGAAACAAAATGACAAAGTATGACTGGGAAACTTGCTCAGCTACCCTCCACCCTCAGCCTGTGCATAAATGGAAGAGTTCAATCTCCTGAGCTGTAAATCGCAACCCATGTCATTTTCTAAAGTGGCAGATTTTAATTTTTGGCTGTAAGTGCTCAAAGGCCCCCTTTAACAAAAGCCAACTTGTCCAAATGGCTGATTTTAAAAAGAGATGTCAACACCACCACACCCCCATATTTCTTCACTATCTGTTAAAGGAAAGCCATTTCATGAATTTATTTCAGAAATCTTAGGTCTCAAAGGCGTAAGAGTTGAGGGAAATTTTCAGCACAGTTTGCCTTCTTGGAAATCAAATCACTGAAATATTATGTACATGACGTAGGTGTTATTTGGTACTGAACTGTGGGTGTAAAACACAGGGGTCTCTTTGAAAATAGCTGTTCCAAAGCTGTTGACTGAAATCAGTTTAAAGCATCAGTATCTGTAAAAGGCGAAATGGAATCATTTTGAAAACCAGTGCTGGACTACCTATGGCTTGCGCATGGAACACTGTTGCAAAATAAAGGCAAACAACTTCTCAAAAAATTATTGATGTCATTCAAAACAAGATCAAAATGTGTATTTAAACTTTTAGTATTCATAAACATTTTTATTATGGAACAATTTTTTAAATCAAACTTGCATATGCTCAATTGACAGCAGGCAATTTATGCAATAAAATCATTTTCTAACACATTACTACAGCATGGATGAAATTTACCCATAATAGGGACCATTTAATTCTCTTAACACCAGAACAGCTGTTGCACAACGCCTGTTTTGCTGAAGAGGAGAAGGGGCAGCTACAATGTTGGCAAACAGGGTGATTCTCTACCTCTGAAACCAGTGGAGTGATCATTCTGTGTCACCCACGCATAGGGACATCAGGGGGTAAGCTAAGACAATGCCACTGAATCTGCAATTAAATGGACCAGTAGCCATGAACCTCTGCACAGCAGTCTGTCCAAAAGCCATATCTCCTGTATAGTCCAGATGCCAGAAGCACAGCATCATATACAACAAGAAGCTGCTTCCTGATTTGGCTACTGGTTGCCTGAAGACCATTCCAAAAACCACTTACACATCAATTTGCTTGGGATTTGAGCTGGAGCAGGGGTAACTAGTTTCTTCCTGTATGCATATGTTCCATTATTCAATACTTATCAGTCATTAGAAGAATTAACACTGAAAGGTACTTGACAATGGCTTTGAGTAAAAACACATTGCAGAATCTGTATGATAATTAAATAAGGGACTTTTTATATAAAATTTAGATTTTGAAAACATTATTATAAAACCCAAATTGTATACATCTTCAGTACAGGGGGATTTTATTAATCCCACTTAAGCAGGGATAGGCAAAATCAGGCCCACTGGGCGCATCTAACCCAATTTCTCTTGGGCCAGCCCAGTTAGTTAACAGAGAGTGCATACCTACAGCCCGAAAAATGCCAACCTATGACCACGTACCAAAATTCATAAAATGGCCCCCTTGTGAAAATTATTGCCCACCCCTGGTCTAGCGTATAGAACACATACTGACCTTAGGAGGCTAAACAAAAAAGTGACTAATGAGATACAAGCAAAATAGTACAGATAATTAATGAAGGATTAAATGTGATAATTATCTAAATAAAAATCAATATCTAAGTATAGTATTAGCTTCCCTCTACCTGAGTTCTGATGGGCTCAGTTCTCAAATTATGAATATTTCTGATTCTGCGCACGAGGTAAACTGACACTCCAGATCAAGCTAGAAGGGGTTGCAAATGCTTTGAAGGATAGGGCTATAATTCAAAATGATCTGGACAAATTGGAGAAATGGTCTGAGGGAAATAGGATGAAGTTTAATAAAGACAAATGCAAAGTGCTCCATTTGGGAAGGAACAATCTGTTATACACATATAGAATGGGAAATGACGGTCTAAGAAGGAGTACTACAGAAAGGGATCATAGGGGACCACAAGCTAAATGAGTCAACAGTGTGACACTGTTGCAAAAAAAAGCAACCCTGATTCTGGGATGCATTAACGGAAGTGTTGTGAGCAAGACACGAGAAGTCATTATTCCACTCTACTCTGCACTTATTAGGCCTCAATTGGAGTATTGTGTTCAGTTCTGGGCACCACATTTCAAGAAAGATGTGGAGAAATTGGAGAGGGTCCAGAGAAGAGCAACAAGAATGATGAAAGGTCTAGAGAACATGAGCTATGAAGGAAGACTGAAAGAATTGGGCTTGTTTAGTTTGGAAAGGGGAAGACTGAGGGGGGACATGATAGCAGTTTTCAAGTATCTAAAAGGGTGTCACAAGGAGGGAGAAAAATTCTTCTCCTTGGCCTCCGATGATAGGACAAGAAGCAATGAGCTTAAATTGCAGAAAATGAGGCTTAGGTTGGACATTAGGAAAAACTTCCTGTCAGGGTGGTCAAACACTGGAATAAATTGCCTGCAGAGGTTGTGGAATCTCCATTTCTGAGATATTTAAAAGCAGGGTAGATAGACATCTATCAGGGATGGTCTAGTCTGTGCTTGGTCCTGCCACGAGGGCAGGAGACTGGACTCGATGAACTCTCAAGGTCCCTTCCAGTTCTAGTGTTCTATGAGTCTACCATGGAAAAACACTGATTAACTCAGTAACTATCAGCTTGTACTTGTGGATGGCCGTGGCTCCTCCATGCAAATGACCTTGCTCTTGTCTACTTGCACGTACACTCAGCGATACAAACAGAAATCCATTAATTTCCCAATAAACTCCCTTTCTGTCTCTCAACACATAAAATACTGCAGTGCAAAAGGTATGTGGGTTACACAAGCAGAAGTCTTTGATTATTGTTAGTACTGAAGATGTTAAGATGTAGTTAACTGGCTAATCGAGTAGTCAATAAAAATGCTATTGACTACTCGATTAATTGATAAGGGAAGGCAGCCC